TTCAATCCAAATATCTCACTTTTATGATATATATTCATTAGAAATGATAATTAAAATGACATGTTTTATTAATCCATGCTTGATGTAAACATATTTTTAGAAATAAAATTACTTGCAATAAATCATTTAAAGTAGGTTTAGATATACGCAATCTTATCGATTTAAAATGTCAATTCTATAACGTATATATCATATATAGTCGGGACCATGATGCAATAATAAGGTGATGTATCAACAAAAACATTTGTTTTTTCCCGACCATGACACAATGAATAGGTAGTCCATTTAGAGCAGCTGATGTCTTGATTAACAAAGTGCGAAATTTCTATATGGATTCAATGTGCAGTGTTGCCAACCATGTGAAATATTTCCAATAATATATATAATAATCCTTATAAATTTGACAGAAGGTCGAGACAAAAACAAAGGTTTTGTTTTGATACATCACTTTATTATTGCATCATGGTCCCGACCATGTCACAATAAACATGTAGTCCATTTAGCACAGCTGATGTCTCTATTAACTGTAAAAGTGCGTAATTTCTTCTTGAATTCGATGTGCAATGTTGCCAACCATATCAAATATTATAGGGAAAAATTTGACAGATGGTCGAGACAAAAACAAAGGTTTTTGTTTTGATACATCGCCTTATTATTGCATCATGGTCCAGACTATCTGTCAATTTTTTTTTCTAGTAATATTCATATGGTTGATAACATTGCACATTGAATTTATGTAGAAACTAAGCACTTTGACAGTTAATCGAGACATCAGCTGCGCTAAATGGACTACCTACTCATTGTGTCATGATCTGGGCTAAATGGACTTATTTTTTATTGTGCCATAGTTGAAACTTTGCACCTGACAGCTGATTTTAAGTTATTTTCGACAATCAGTTGATTTTAGAGAGTAACCCTTTTTTAACCCTTTGTGGCCCAATGTTGCCCACAGGCAACAAAATGTTTTAGAGCTTTTATTTATTATACAGCTAGTAGATATGCATTCCTCGGATTTCCTATGTCAAGACCTGATTATGGACGACACATATCACAAGAAAAATATAAAAAATTCAAATTTTTGGTAAAGTTATGAGCTTTTTAATACAGAGAAGACGGCAAAAAATGTGTACAGTACTAATTTGTGTATACAGTCCAAATTATTTAAATCGCTTCATATTCGAAATGTACGAATTATGTCATCAGAATTATTTTTGATTCTTGTAAAACAGAATATTGAGAATAATTTAAAATGATTTTTTCGTCGATTTTGCATTTGGTTTTCTTGATATTGGGCTTTTATTTTTCAGAAAGAATGTACTGTATCTCCCGAATGCAAGGATATAGCGATGTCAAATTTTGTCCATATCCTATCTAGGATAGATGCATTAAATTTGCGAACAGAAAATTGTTCTATGATTACGGAAAAAAATTCGGGGCTCAAAGGGTTAATTGTTTTGACAACTTCGAAGAACGTGTGAAGCAAGATCTACTAGTAGTGTCACCCAGCAAGCGAAAGTCAGCTGTTTTTCTCAAGTCTAATGTCAAAAAAAGTTTTTTAACAGAACAGCTAAGCATCTAAAGCATTGGCGGCAATCAGCTAATTTTAGTTTATCCCTTTTTTATAGCTTCAAAAACTTCAAAGAAAATGGAAAGTATTTTCCCTGGACTGCTACAACATCTATTGGTTAATGAATATAAATAAAAAAGAAACATTTTGTTTTAATATTTTTTGTTTAAATACAATTTGCGTTTTTTATTTAGAAACTTAGGAAATTAAGGGGTTCTTTTTTTTTGCAAAATTGGCCATAAAACTAAACAACAAATATTTCATTAATAATAAAATAAATGTAATTAAAAAAATAAAGATATGAAAAAAACAATGGAAAATAATGATTATAAAAACTCTATATATAAGTTTGTATATATATGTTTATGTATTTATATACAATACATTTGTTTATATATATCAAAAATATAGTATTAAATAAATACGTAATTTCATTTAAATTATAAATATATGTGTGTAATGATAATTACTAAATTTAAATAATTATTTAACAAGCTTTAGAGCTTTACAAAATACAACTGAAGTTTTTTGCTTTGCTTCGAAGTATATTTAGGTTTTAAATATATGTATAAAAAAGAAAAGAAAACAATATTATTAAATAATATTTAGATAATACACAAAGTAATTAGTTATTTGGAGAATATTGGTTATTATTGTATTTTTTTTTAAATAAAACAAAGGATAATCATAACAATTGTTTTAATTACAGTTTCATGAAAAATTTGTCGATGTAAACACAACGTAAGATTATCATGTTTATATTGAAGTCAGTTATCATGATAATAGCATTGTTAAGTTCATGTTACGCGAGCCGTTGTTGCCAAATGTGTTGTGAATTTTTCTGTACATATGACCAAGATTTATTAATAAGGTCACCCAGCAGCCGAAAGTCAGCTGTTTTTTCAGAAGTCTAATATCAAACATTTGGACATTGTTTAAGTTTTCATAATGGACGTCAATTCACAACAATGGATTTTGATAGCAAACTTGAGAGGCAGCTGATATCCAGCTGATTTTCCCGGATAAGCTTATTAATAGTATTTGTATACGACATAATTTATGCATATCAAAATTGACGTGAATCTTTTCAATTTTGTGTTCACACGTGTATATGCATTTTTGTTTATTTTTTTGCTTCAATTAATTCCTTTAATTTTAAATTAATTTTTTTAAGTTATTTTCTATTAGAAATTTATCTCCATTTGCCAAAAAACAAACAAAACAGCTGATTTATTTGTGTTGTTATCTCGTTTTGAATAATGCCATTTTTTAGTGTGGGCCATACGACAAGTATTGTATTCATATATGTAACATTTGACACAAGGCCTATAAATAATGTCGTCCAGGGAGACCAGCTGGATATCAGCTGTCTCTTAAGTTTGCTGTCAAACCCCATTATTGTGAATTGACTTTCATTATGAAAACATAAACAAAGGCCAAATTTTTGATTAGACTTGGGGAAAAACAGCTGACTTTGGCTAGCTGGGTGACCTAATTAATAGATCTTGATTTGACAGTACATCGAATTCTCGCCGTGACAACGGCTTTATACGTCAAAAAGAAGAAATTGTTCATTTACACCGAACATGTGTATCATTTATTTGTTATATACACAAAGGTAATTAAGGTGCATTACATATAAATATTTAATAGGCCTTGAACTAGAGAATAAACCAGTTTAATCAGCAGAGCTAAATCTACGCAAAAAGTCAGCCAGGAAGAACAGCTGGTCTGTTCTCGATTTGAAAAGAAGTTTATTATTGACATTTGTTCCAATATGTTTGATAGTTTTTATAAATGTCAAAAAGACAGCTAGGAAGGATTCCATAACCATCGTAAACAGCTGTTTTATGTCAAAATGTTTTCCGTTATTTGTTATCATGGCACACAATAAATAGGTACTCCATTTGTCGCAGCTGATGTCAAAGTGAGTAATTTCTACTTGAAATCGATGTACAATTTTGTCAACCATGTTAAATATTATAAGTAAAAATTTTACTGATAGCTTAGACAACAGAAAAGGTTTTTGTTTTGATATATCACCTTATTATTGCATCATGATATGAAGTCAATTCAAAATAACTGATTTTGACAGAAAACTTGGGAAGCAGCTGACCTTCCTACGTGACTTTACAAGGTCTGTTAATAACATCAGCTATCGAAATCGGAAAATATCTGTCATTTCTCATGCTCAATGTCAATATTTTGAACGTTATTTACGTCATCATAATGTGAAGTCTATTCACAATAATGCATTTTGCCAGCAAGCTTGAGAGGCATCTGATTTACAACGGATCTCCCTTTTTTATGTTTTAGAGTTAGGGAGTAGTACATGTTCTCCCTGGGTGACTTTGTTAATAAACCATAGTGACTCTATTAATAGGCCTTGAGTCTAACAATTGGTAACGGCGTTTTAATGCATTCACTGGCATTGGTCTCCTGCATTAAATTAATGCAAATAATTTATTAACTAAACGATTTTGTTAATAATTCTTTAGAAGAACATACAATTAAAGTATTTAATACAAAAAATATTATTTTTTTTTACCATTTTTAAAGAAAAATTATAGTTTCATATATTTTTTGTTTGTTAAACAATTTGGTTTTCAGTTTCCAAGAAAAAAATTTAGATAAATTAATACATAAGAGAATTGATTTTCACTTCTATTTTGTTTTAAACTTAAATCAATATTCTTTAGTTTAGAATCTAGAAAATATATTTTCATAAAAAAATATACAAAAGAAAAACTTAAAGTTAAGATTCACAAAAATGTTCCATAGAAAATATAAACAAAAAACTAATTTCAAATTAGTCTTGGTTGTATAGAAAAATTACAAATTAACGAAAAAACTAATATTAGAAATATAATAATTTATATAATTTTCAATACATAATTCTGTTTACGGTTTTGTGTTGTTGTTGTTAATTCTTAAATTTATGCCTAAATATTTTGGTTAAATTTTGTGGTTAGTTTTTTTTTTAGTTTTGATGTTCTTGATCTCTTGTAATACTAGTTGTAGTCTAGATTTGCTGTACATACATACACATATAAAATATGTATGTACGTATGTTGTAATGTAAATTTACCTTGTATTTAATAATAGTTTGTTTTTGTATTGTTTTTTTAGCATCATTGTTTAATCTTATATATGTTTTGTTTGTTGTAATATAATTTTGTTTTAGCTTTCCTTTCCTTACCTTTTGTTTTTTTTTAAGGAAATGCAAAATTTTCCACTACTCAATTTTTTCTTCGATTTTATATTAAAAACAAAAAAATAATGACTTAAATAAATGTTTACTGTTTCATAAAAGGCCTTAACAATTCATTTCTTTGTCTGTTGTATGCACTTTTGAGGTTATGTTTTCTATTTTGTGTTTCTATTCTATTGATATCCAGTTTCTCTTCTCTCCGTTGATGAGACGAACGTTTCAATCAATCTATGAATTAACTACATAATAATCCTGTTTATTTGGCATCTTAAGAAGACGTCTGGTCCGGAATTCATATGCTCGACGACAGAACATAACCAATTCCGGATTTGTGTTATCTGGTACAACACGTATACTATAGTAATTGGGTCGTTTCGGTACAATATTGACATCTTCGATATCTTCTTCAGCTGCGCGTAGTCTTCGGCGATATCTGGAAGAAAAACATGAGAACATAATTTAGGATTTTGAGAAAATGTATTTTAAAAATTATGTATAAATTTTACATAAGACATTTCGAAGGAATGATTTATTACGGAAATCATCTCAAAATTCAACTTTAGAGTTTTCATGAGCTGGAAAATTGAAAATTGTCGATGTTTTTTTTTTCGATATTTGTGGCTAAAAAATCTCAAATTCGATTAGTGAAGACGCAGATCTACTTCAAGAACTCAAAAAATCGGTTCAAGTTTTGTTGGATTTGAAAATTTCTCACTCAATTTTTTTATTGACAATAAAAAGTTTTTAAAGGGTCCAATATGCGTTAGGAAATCAAGATGAAACTATGTGCTCTAAGCCAGAAAAAATGTTTGTTGACAAGCTTCCTCTCAAAATGTCATGGCCTTAGCTTTGGTCTACTTTCCACACAAAAATAGCAACATATCAAACACCCAAAAGCGAATATAGGAATGTGGCGACCAATGTGCAATGATCAAGAATAAAAAAATGGGGATAATTTTAGATAATTAAATCCATCGATAACTTCATACTCCCTGTTAAAGTTGCGTAATTTGTGACGCTTTACTGTGGCGACCAAATGTTCGCGGTAAAATCTTTGAATTGTTGAAAATTTGTATAATATAAATAATTGTTGACAAGTTCACTCTCAAAATGTCATAGCCATAGCTTTGGTCTACTTTCGTACGAAAATGGCAACATATCAAACACGCAAGGGGCGAATATGGGAATGTGGCGCCCAATACTTCCATGATGAAGAAGAAAAAAAGTGAGGACAATTCTAGATATTCCATCGATAACTTAATCCCTGCTGAAGTTGTGCAATTTATGAGACATTAGTGTGACGCCCAAATGATCGGGATTATGTCTTCGAGGTGTCGAAGACTGTTATAATACAACCTGAAAATGAGAAAAAAGAATTTCCCTGATAAAGGCCTCTGCCCCATATGATATGTCCGATTTTTGCCGCAATGTAAATTCAGCAGAGCCAGTAAGGACTATCACACGGCAGTGGCTCCTACAAAGTGTTCCGAAAGGACCGCACTGAAAGCGTAGGTGGGAGACTTATGATGAAAACAGAACAATCTGTACAGTACAATCCTATCTTGCCTGAACTAGACTGTAATCACCGATATATGTTCGGACCCATACATGGAGTGAATAGGGTAGCATCAACACCTTAGTGACACGGGGTCTGATAAATGACGTAGACCACCTTTCCATCATCGTTTCCGTAAATAGACAATCCGATTTCATTACATCTGAACGCTGAACTTTCCTGGATCATAGTAAAGCTGATTGACAAGTTTTCAGAGATTTTACCAATAGCGGCTTCAGAGAGATCCTCGGGTAGCAGAGAGGAATTTCCGAGACATCATCACTGCTGAAGCCGCTGTCACGTTTAGCGACATAACAGTGACATATTCGAAGTAGTGCGCGAGGTTTTTAACCGGTAGTCATAGACCACCTCGATAGTGACAAGGCGAAAGGGAGTGTGTTTCGTTGTATCAGAGCACTCCGAGACGAGGAGGTACCACCGCTAAGTGGTACCTCCTCGGAACGCCAAGACATCCAATGCGTTGGATCCGGAAGGGATATCAATGGTAATGTTTAAGCAACTGGATGAACGTGGAGTAGAGTACTAACAGCTGTACTCAACCTGTCGTTAGCCACCCACATTTTTCCTTAAGACTGAGAAATAGGCAGGGTGTTCCGCTACTGTAGCCAGGTCGTACATACCTATTCCCTTCTTCTTCAGTAGCAAAGGCGCTTGAGTCACTATTCCTTCCTCTGATAAGAAGTTCCCAAGTCCAAAACATCAAGAGGCCGTGCGACAGAATAGTTTGTAACTTATTGAAAGCCTTCGATACTGTCAATCACTCCAAGCTGTTCAAGGACATAGAGAAGACCAACCTCCGAACTAATTTGAAACATTGACTAACCAATTATATGTGTGGTCGACAGTCATATTTGGAATTCAGAAACAAGAACTGCAAAAGTCGCAGAGTGAAGCAGGGAGTTCCCCAAGGAGGAGTTATACCTCCGGAATTGTTTAACATCTACTTCTACAACCACGGTAGCTCTATGCTACTCTCGTTGGGTCCCATTATCGATGATGGCTGCTTTAGTACTGTACTTCCATATGAGGAACATGAAGATATTCCCCGCTAAATCCACAGCCACTCTGTTTACCACATGGACGGCTGAAAAGAAGGTCCCACTGAACATCATGGTCGATTGTATACTAATTCTGACCACAAAATATACCAACATTTTGGGAGTAATATCCGATAGTTTATTTAAGTCATCCGCGTAAGCCTTTCGATAAGATAAGAAGGATGAACAAGGTACTCGTACTAGGTCGGTCGATGGTATGCTATGTGGCGTCAGTGTAAGTCTTGTATTTTTTGTAACGTTCTGAGTAAGGCTCGCTTCAGAAGTGGAGGTTTAGCATTCCTATTGCACCACTCTGTTCAATACATACATACCTCGTTTTAGATAGACTCTAGTGAGTCAATATGGAATGTTGGGGGATGCAGATAAATGTATATACAATTCCGACCTCCAAATACTCCAACAATAACATCTTTAAATTATCTGCACGTTATCTATGCCCTCAAGTTCTAGGCTGGCTTCATTTGGTCGGTAGACTAGGTTTGTGGCCGGCTATGCGGTACACGAATACAAGTGCTACAAGTGCTCAATGGAGAGGTAGTCAGACCTATTAGAATGCCGACATGAGAACTGGAACATGCAATTGTGATCACAAAACTACTCAAAAATTTTCAAGGTCACATTAGACAGCCTGTTTAAATATTCCGCTCAAGTCATAGTTAGGTTCTCGTGTCGTTTGCGTCAGCTCTTAGGGCAAAGACAAGGCAACATTTTTGACCTCTTATAAAGCGATAGGTCGGTCTGTGCCTAGCTATGGGAAAATTCAAGTTTTGCGGAATGGAGAAGAATTCAGATTTGTCAGAACACTGACCTACGAACTGGATCAGGATGTCGATCGTGACATTAAACATAACCTTCATATGGTTAATAGAACTCCCTTCTCAGGCGAGTAAAAAGATATAAAAGAGAGCCTCTATGCAAAGTTAACACCGGCTGATGATAAAAAACAATATTTAATGGGCAGTAACATGAACGCCAGAGATAAGTCCGATACAATTGTACAGGGAAATCCGAGAGAAAGGAGAAGATGCTGCTCCAGCAACATCAAAACTTAGTTAAAATGTCTAGAAAATTAAAAGTTATCCAAACAACTTAAAGAGCTTTTAATTCGGAAGGATCTGGTAATATCCGGTCCGATATATACTAACATCAATACCAAATTAGCAAAAAATCCCTTAGACTTACCTGCAATATTCACTAAATGTCAAAACATAGCATTTATCTTCAATACAGGCAACAGAATTGTGATCGCGATGGCGTGAAGCATAAACTTCATCTGGGCTATCGCTAGGTTGGCGTCCCTGCTCTGTATGTTCGGGACGATAGTACCATAAGAGAGACATCATCATTTCACCTGTCGAGAAGAGAGAAACAAGTCAGGATTATACAAAAATTTCAATAGTATCCAAAGAGAGATCTTACCATCTTCCGGATTTTCCCACAAATGGGCCACCTTAGCTACATAGGGCAACTCATTATCTTCATTAGCCTTGAGAAGAACACAATCACGCGTGCGTATAATATCGCCCTCAGAGTGGCGCATTGCAGGATAACAAGTACGTATTACCAATGGATCATCGCTCTGTAATGAAGAGGGAGATGAATTAAAAAAATAATAAAATATAATTTTTTTCTGAACAACTTACATTTAAGAATACCGCCCCCTGGAACTGTTCTCCCTCCCATGTCCAGCCGTTATTCCATTTCGGCACCACATCATTGCGTGTTGCCGGCGGCAGTGTTTCGTCCAGCTCAAATGACACCGTGGAATGTTTCAATTTTTGACGTTTGCGATTGCCAAATTTGGAACGTGAACGATTACGTTTGACACCATGATGGTGACACACCACCCGTGGCATTGGAGGTAATGTGGGCTGTATAAATAGTTGCTGTTGTTGCTGCTGCGGCGTTGGTGTAGTTGCTGTTGTACTGATATTGCCATTGGAATGTTCTATCAAAGAATTTTGTTCACCTGCTGTCGTCGGCTGACAGGATTGTTCAGGAGCCTCCTCCGTAATTTCGGATTGCATTGGAGTATTTTGAGCGTTGAATGTGACACTAGTTGTTGTATTATTGTTGTTGGGTATGGCGGGTTCCACCTCCATCACTGTACCAGCCAGTGTTTCAGCCGTTGTTCGTAAACCGTCATCCGATTTTGATTCTTCTGTAGGTTCCTTATTCAAAATTTGAGCTTCTTTAGGAATTTCATTGTTGTTCGTTTCCATGGCCATAGCCTCTACAGCTATACACTCCTGTGCAGTTATATCTACCGAACTTCTATCCTTGGATTTTGATTTTTTCGAAGATTTGTGTTCCGTTTTGGATTTCTTAATTTTTCCCTCCTTCGGCAATTTTATCGACTTGGGTTCTGTGGATTTTGATCTAGATTGTTCCGTATATTCCATGCTTGAATCACTAGCCATCGTGTGCGTCGTAACTGATTTTGAGGTAGTTGCTGTTAGTGTCGGAACACCATCGAAAACGGTACGAATATTTAAGGGTTCAGTGTTAAGGGAATTCTGAACTTTCAAAGGTTTCTTTGTTTCCGATTTCGAACGTTTTTCCGAAGTGGTTTTTGATTTTTTATGAATTTTATGAGCCAAAGGACTACGGCCTTCTTTGGGCTCATTTGTCGTGGTCATGGTCGTCACCGTGCTATTAGATTTGTGTAAATCCAAGGGACTAGGAGAACAAGCGTTACTGGTCACCACCAGTGATGATGATGATGTACGACATTCCGGCTCTGAGAAGTAGCCCCTGGCCACAGCATCAATAGTTTCAATTAAATGCAAAGGTATGGCTTGTTTCTTGGGAGGCTTTCCACGTTTCGGTGATGGTTTGGGTGTAATCTGAGGAGATTTCTTGGCATTTGCGGCGTCTTGTTGATTTGCAAATAGCAGTGGCGTCTCCACTTTACCATTCTCCAACATTTCCACATCATCCTCAATTAAATTCACCACCTCATCCTCCTCTTCGGCTTCTTCTTTTTTAATTGGTTGTTCCACATTCACGCTCTCCGGCAGTTCCCTTTCTCCCTTAATCATGTCATGTTGTCTACTGTTGGCCACCGCTGCCTCCTTGGCTTCTTTGCGTTTTTGCCTCAGCTCAGCCCTTCTTTGCTCCTTCGTTTCACGTCTTCGTTTTTCCATGGCCGCCAATTTCTTCTTTCGTATCTTCAAACTTTCCTTCTGTTGATCGGTTAACATCAATTCTCTCCTTCGTATACCGTTGTTAAGACCCGAACTGCCCTTGTTGGATTTAGACGAGTGGATGCGACCAAATCGTGATTTCTTTTCAAATTTACGACTCAAACAAAGATACGTCTTGGGTTCCGCCTGTTTGATTAGACTTTTATAGCTATTGGGAGGAGATTTCTTGCATTGATTTTTGTTGATTTCCAAAATTCCACGACGTTTGCCTGAACATTTGGGCGCCACAGGACTATGGCATAAATCGAGAATCTCATCGTCGGATGTTGTGGAAAGATCAATGTCACAATTAACGGCTGGCAGAGGTGAGAGAGTTGTTGTCGGCATAGCTTGTCTGGAGGACAGCAGACGCATTCTACCCTGAGGCTTGTTTACCACCTCCCCCGTGCAATTGGGCGCCACTTTCCGCTCTTCGCTTGGTGTGACAATTTCACAATCCAATTCCACCTTCACTTTACTCTCATGTAAAATTTCGCTGAGCGTAATCGGCTCGGCTTTTATGATTTTAAGCTCTTCTTTCTCGGGTATGATATGTTTTGGGTTTGCCGACTGGGATTGCTGATGGAGCGTATGTTGTGCCACAACGACATTGGTGTGCTGTTGCAGCAACATCGTATCGATTAGCTCATCTTCAAGTTTGATTTTCTCTGATTTGATTTCAGCCTTAAGCAATAGCGGAGCCGTGTGGACTTCATCAATTTCCTGTTTGGTCATGACATTGCTGACAAAGAAATTTGCCGGAGAAGCGGAGGAGGAAACTTTCCCTTGGCTGCTATGCTCTGGGGTTGTGGTTTTCTGTGGAGTGGAAGGTTTAGCTGGTTGTGATGCAGTCACTTGGGCATTGCCATGTAAGGGTGATGCAGGTTGGGATCCATTACGTCCCTGTACACAATTTGGCTGCTGCGCTCCCGGAACACTTGCGACATTTACTTGATTCGCTGCATAAACCATATTCCAGGCCATAGATTTGCCAATACGTGCCCTCCGTCCCACTGTGGTAATTTGTGGAGATTTCGTGGCATTCGCAATGGGTACTGTGGGCGCACTGACCCCAACATTCTGCAAGGGTGGTGTACTTGTGGTCAAATCATAAGCCTCTATGGGTTGTGTTGTCGCCATACCACGTAAGTGAGTTGCGACATCCGCTTCCGATCTATTCACCATTTTATCGGGAACTTCTTCGGGCTCTTCACGAATATCCGTCACCGTATCTTTTTCTATTGAATCCCTTAGTTTATCTTCATTTGTACTGTAACAATCGGGAGGTGTGAGAGGTGTTACGACATTCTCTTCATACTGGCTCTTGTTGTCGGTATCATCGACAGACAGTTCGGTTTTGACCGCTATCGTTAGTAGGGGGATTTTATTTGGATTAGGCGGTATGATTTCGCCATGTTTTGCGTCCATTGGTGGATTGGTAATATTTTTAACTGGGCCTCTATTGGTATTTACGGCATTACTGTTGTTGTTGCTGTTAACATTTACTGCTGCTGTTGTTGTATTGTTACTATGACGATTACTGTTGTTCGTCATAGTCGTATCGTTCGTTAGCGACTTGTTGTTGTGCTGCTGCTGTTGCTGTTGTTGATGCAAACTCAATACATTCAAGGTGTTGTTGTTGCAATGATTGTTGCTCATTGCTGGCACTGTGGCTATTGAGTTGTTGCTGCTGCTGTTGCCGCTGTGATTGAGTGTAGTATTGCTGTTGTTGTTGCCGCTGCTGCTGTTGCCGTTGTGAGTGTGATTGACATTGTTGTTGCTGCTGCTGTTGCTACCAATATGAGGCCCAGTATGGACGTTTTTTGGACACGATTGTTGCATTGGACATGGACATTGTGGTGGATATTCTGAAAGGAGTATAAAGAATAAAATATAAATTAAGAGAGGAGTTCGTAGGATAAAAAAGCTCTGAGGTAATTTAAATCAATCGGAAGTTATTACTATATTTAGTTTATAGTACTGGGTGTCGTATACGTTACGACAGTAGTTATACGTCATGGTGTACAATTAGAAAAATGTTTCTAACCTGTACATTTATGTAGAGATCTTTATGAAATTAGACTCAAAATTTGTTCAGAATTGAATAAATTGAGGAGCATATGGAATATAAATAACCGTGAACGATTCATAAATTATAGGTAACCCAAAAATCGATTATGAGCCTTTTTTGTTCCGAATATAGAACTAGTCTTGAATAACTAGCCATCATGTATGTCGTAACTAATTTTGAGGTAGTAGCTGTTAGTTATGGAACTCCTTCGGAAATTGTTAGAATATTTAAGGGTTCAGTGGTTGGAATATTTAAGGGTTTAGCGGTAAGGGTATCAGCAGTTTTCTATTCTTCCGAGTTCAAACTTTTTTCCGAAGTATGGTTTGATTTTCTTTTATGAAGTTTATTAGGTAAAGGAGTCTTTAGACTCTTTTGTCGTGGTCGATGGGCTTTTGGATTTATGTAAATCCAAAGGACCAGGAGCTACATCGATAGTTTCAATTAAAGTTTCAACGTTAGTTATACGTACAGTGTTATCATTAGAAGAAAGCTTATAAATTCTACATTTATTAATCAATCTCTATAACTCACTAGCCATCATGTGCGTCGTATCTGAGGTAGTTTTGAGGTAGTTGCTATTAGTGATGGAACTTTATGGGGAACTGTCCGAATATTTAAGGTTTCAGTGGTAAGGGAATCAGCAGCTTCCGATTATAAAATTTTTTTCGAAGTGGGGTTTGATTTTTTTATAAATTTTATTAGGTAATGGAAGACTGTAGCCTTCAGAATCTTTTGTCGTGGTCGACGGGCTATTGGACTTATGTAAAGCCAAGGGACCACGAGCTACATCGATAGTTTCAATTAAATACTAAGATATGATTTGATTTTTAGGAGGTATTAAACGTTTCCTACTGGGTGGCGTATAAGTTTCGACGTTAGTTATACGTACAGTGCTATTATTAGAATAAAGCTTATAAATTCCACATTTTTTAAGCGATCTCTATAAATCACTAGACATCATATGCGTCATATCTGAGGTAGTTTTGAGGTAGTTGTCCGAATATTTAAGGTTTCAGTGGTAAGGGAAGCAGCAGCTTTCGATTTCAAACTTTTTTCCGAAGTGGGATTTGATTTTTTTTATGAAATTTATCAGGTAAAGGACGACGACAGTCTTTGGACACATTTGTCGTGGTTGTTGGACTATTAGATTTATGTAACGCCAAGGGACCAGGGGATCAAGCATTATTGGTTGGCTCTGCGAAATAAGCTCTGGCCTCAGTACCAGTGGTTAAAAATAAATACAAAGATATGGCTTGTTTCTTAGGAAGCATTCCTCGTTTTTACTGGGTGGCGTATACGTTTCGACGGTAATTATACGTACAGTGGTACCATTAGAAAAATTCTCTTAAAAGCTACATATTTTAGCGATCTCTATGAATATTTTCCTTTTAATTAGTTCAGAGAGGGAGTAAATTGGCAAGCAGTTGAAATATGATCAATCGCTATAGATTATTCTCTATCGAAAAGTGTTCGAATAGTCAAGACTTTATTTGTAAGCGGCTTTTCGGTATCCGATTCCGAAGGGTTTTAGCCAAAAGTCTATGACATTCTTGGAACTCATTTCTCGTGTTCGTCGTGCTATTGGATTTATGTAAAATGAAGGTACTAGCAGAACACTGGTCACCTCCAGCGACATTCTGGTTCTGAGAAATAACATCTGGCCACCACATCAAAAATTTCAATTAAATGAAAAGGTATGATTTGTTTTCAGGGAATATGCAGCCTACTATAAATAATTTACCAACTATTAAAATCGATAAATTTTTGTTACAAATTCCACTGACATGAATTAAAACTCGCAGATTCTGCATAATCGTTTACCTCTTCCCTAATTTTTTGTTATAAATTCCAGTAGTATAATTTAAACCGCGCAACTTCAACATATTCTTTACAACTTTTTTTAAATCCCTTCTAAATATTCGACATTCTCCCATCCAAAAGTAGTTTTTGAGATTGAAACAAAAAATATTTATATATAAAACACCCTTGCGTATACATCACGACACTAGTCATACGCATCATATTACCCATAATGTTTTCTCTCAATAAAAATTCACCCATATCATCCATAAACTTAAAGTAAGAACCATACTTTTCCTTACCCATATACGGAGCCTGAATACTGCGTGTATAACACTGGCCAGCTGCACCGCTGCCACTGCCATAACCCGCATAATAACCTTGTGGTCCGGCATAATGTTCCAAATGTTGACTATGGCCCGCTGGCGGACCTGCTGGTACCAGCTGTGTACCACCCGGCGGTGGTGGTGGTGGCGGTTGTCCCGCCTGACTGGGTGGTGGTGGTCCTGCCACCTGGCCAGCACTAGAACCAGCTGTGCCCGGTTGGGGTGGCGGTGCCTGCTCATATAGTTCGGTTGGTGGCGGTGGATGACCCGGCTGATAGTAGGAGTAACGTCTATACGGCGAATGATGTGGCGGTGGTGGAGCACTTTGATAAACTTTGGTTGCTGGATAATACGGTTGATAGGCAGGTGGCGAATAACACATTGGTTCACCGGGATACGGTGAATAATAACTTGCAGGATATGCTGGTGGATAATGCATTTGGGCATGCATTGATCGGGGATATGGTGGGCTTTGATGAGCTGCAGCGGCCGCTGCCGCCGCAGCTGCTGCATGGGCAGCTGCCTGTTGATGTAGTTGATGCTGTTGTTGTTGCTGCTGCTGCTGTTGTTGATGTTGACTGTGATGGGCAGCTGCGGCGGCGGCCGCTGCTGCTGCTGCAGCACTGGCATTACCACCTTGTGGTGGATAACGATAGGGTGCTAAATCACCGCCACTTAGAAGAAGCTCTGAATCCGCACTCTCAGCAGTAGGAGTGGCATTTGGCTGACCACTGGCGGATAAGTGCTCGCTGCCATCCACAGGGGTGGTTGTTTGGGATTTGACTTTTGTATTGGTCGTTGCTAACAATGGCACATTTGGTGGTATTGATGATGGTGGTGGTGGTCCAGCTGTAACTGGCTGTATAACGTGTGGTGAGATCAATGGACCCGCTGGTTGATAGTAACCTGGAAGAAAGAAAGAGAAAACAAGTGTTAATAAATTTATCGAATAAAAATTTTATTGTAGAAAAAAATAAATAAAATAAAATTGTGAAAAAAATTATTAAATTCGGCTAGACCAAACTTTCGATACTCTCCACCACGAGGGGGCATTTAAAAAAAATTTTAAATCCATGCTTAGGGGAAAGCTAGGTCAAAACATAGAAACATGGAAAGATATAAGTACCATATTATAATGAAGAGAAACACAGATTGTAAAATTCCGCTAAGACCTTTGACATACCGAATTGGTTTGCAAGGAACATGGTATATTTTTCCACAGAAAATTTGTTTACCCACCATGAACCCAGAATGACAAAGTATAGCTATGTTGCTTGGATATTGTCATTAAGGTACCTAAAATGCGGCGGGACTATCATAAAATGTTTTAGTCGGGATGAACTTTTTATACCCTCGTCCTTTCATAATACTATATAACTATCTAAAATACGGCAGGACCAACATATGAAGTCTATGTGTAAGCAAAGAACTTTTTATACCCTCGAGCAACAAGATGGGGTATTCGAAAAACTTAAAATCGGTCGGCTCCTTCATCTATAGGCAAAGTTAAAACATAGGTTTCCTCCATGAAAACGAGGTACCGAAATATGGATTGGATCTTCAACATACCGAAAATGTGCCCGGACGCAGGGAAACATGGATCTATCTTGAACATTTATCCAACAAGAACCCGGAATGACAAAATGCAGCTACTTCGGTTAGAAAATGCGTCTGGGACCATAAAAATATTTAAATCCGGCCCTAGGCTTAAAACTTTGGACAGAAAAGGTATGCAAATGTATTTCCCATCTTCTAAGAACCAAGGGTCTATACCATTTTCTGATGTCATCAATAAGGATCCTTAGCATTTTTTTCCGAATTTTGTATTCCTTTGAAATTTTCAATCACATCTAAAGCAAAAAATCCTAAATCTATGCTTCACACCAATTACTCGAACCTATGCAACCTACAGCAGCCGCATTGGTGTAACATGGACTTAAAAGCCTTGTTCGATTGTCGTTATCGGTAGTCTAGTAAGTAGCCAATGCATAATCAATGTTTTCTACTGATTGTTGTTGCTTTTCTGTTTTTTATGTGCCTTAAAAAACTTCGCGAAGCTAGCAATTCATTCCGGACTCCTTGCTGGGGGCCTTAACAATCAACATTTAAAGTAAAATAAAAAAAAACATATCTATGATTAGGTAGACTTATGGCCTGTAAACTATATGACAGGCATCATCGTCACAATAAACGCCAATGGCCATATAACAAGATAGTCAGTGAGCTTGGCAAGCTAGCTAGCCAGGTAAAGATAATCTTGGTCATATTCATTGTAATCATAGCTTAAAGTTGTTGTTGGTTTTGTTGTTGCATTGTAATTGCCAAATGACTTTAAGACCTTTTCATTGGTAAAAAAACAACAACAGCAACAGAAAACAAAGAACTGACAGTCGAATAACCAAAAAAACAGAAATTACATGCAATTAGTTTTTGTAGTTGTTGTTGCTGGTGTTATAAGAGTTGGTTTTTGTTGTTGTTGTAGTCTTGAGAGTAATCAATTGATGGCATATTATTGCCGTTAACAAGGAAAACGCTTTCACTTTATTATTTTGAGTCGATGTAGCCATTAAATCCAGTCATAAATCAGATTTATAATAAAGATATTAAATTGGGGAACTTTCACCACCGGGCTGGGGCAATCGATTTGATTTTGAAAATAAATTAAGAAATAAATATTTTGAAAACGGAAATTAAAAACAGAAACATGAATTATAGTTATGAAACGAAGAGCTACAATTTTTCATTGAAAGGACACTGAGGGGTTTTCTGCATTCAGAACGTCTACAGGTTGTTTAGATAAAATGTCTTCTAGATATCGGCAACTGATATTAGGATTTCGAATTTTCTTTAGGTCACCTATTATTAGGGGGTTGTAGAAAAAGAGTGCTGTTTTTGCCAAAAGAACGGATTCTGGAAGGACTTCTGCATTCACAACGGCTCCGGTGTGTTCATGTATAGAAGTGTGATAAAATATCTTCTAGATATGGAACACTAATATGAAAATTTTTATGTACATAAGACCTAAGAAAAACTCTTTTATATGAAAGTTCTGCCAAATTTCTTTTATAAATAGAAAATCTACAAATATCAAAGTAAAGACCACATATCAAAGATCTTCCAATTGGGGAGTGTAAAATTATGCTGGGATAGGAAAACCCGTCAGCGAGTTTTATCAAGAAGGTAGAAGGATACATTCCAAATATGTCAAGATTTTTATTAATGACATAATATTTTTTTTTCTGATAATACTATGATTCATAAAGAAATCGCGGATTTTTTTTTTGAGGCGGGATGTCTTCAAAAAAATGGAACAAAGATTTTTTTCTAAAATATTTCGTCGGTCCTTGGTGCGTTTTACTATTACTTTCTTTCATACACCGTATTGATGATTTTCTTTCGATTTTGATACGTAAGCTATTAATTAATTTGTGATATAAAACATTGGAATTCCTCCTTTTCGAATAAAACAAATATGTATATAAAACATCCCCAGCGTATACATAACGACAATTGTCATACGCACCAGGTTTCCCCACAATTTTCTCTCAAAAATATTTTTTGGGGAGTGGAAAATTCCTTTTGATTATGAAAACCATTGGTTAGTATATCCAGAACCCAGAAAGTCTAATTCTCTATTGTTTGTTGCGAGGAATCTCAACAAGGACAATTGGGATTTCCGAGCAACAGTACAAAATTTTCTTATTAACCAATTTGATTTTTCGATGGTATTTCGGATCAATTTCTAAAACGATAGACGCTTCAAAAGCGCATTTGAATTAATAAAATTCACTACAGAAAATTTCACAAGCCATCCGAAGAGGTACAAAAGGGAGTATCTAGATCAACAGACTTAACAAACCGGATCAAATCTTATTCACATTGATGTAGTTAAGGAAAAAAATCGAAAATAGACTGTGAATGCAATCATCGGAAAACATGCGCCTCCGATAGCAGCAGCTACCGCGATAAACCAGAGTAGTTTTAGCACAATTGAGAACAGGGTGGTGTAGACGTTTCAATTCGTTTTGGGGTGAATTGTTTACATGGTGGATAATATCTGTCCGGCATGTGACAATGGTCCACATGATACGCTACACCTCTAAAACTGAAGAGCCAAACTTACTCAACCTATATTCACTATCGACACAATCTGAAGCATTTTTGAACCTACTACTCAAACTACTACTCAACCTATATTCACTATCGACACAATCTGAAGCGTTTTTGAACCTGGAGTTAGAAGCATAACCAGAATCGAATACTGAAGCATTTTTAGGTCGTCGTGAAGCATCTTGTCGGACCACAGTACTGAAATTGAAAGTTAGTGATCTGAAATTCGCACAAGTTACTCAAGGAGTTTTTCATGTTTTTCGTAGATATGTCTTTTCACCAGAAATACAAAAGGAGGTCAGTATGAAGAGCCCATCTTCCAAAACAAACGATAGCCATATCAAATAAAAGTATCTCGGAGTAATTCTAGACAGGAAATTTAAATGGAAAGACCACATCCAACAAAGAGCTTATAAGGCCCATAGATGCTGGTCTTTCTGTAGAGGAGCCATAGGCTCTAAATGGGGCTTCAATTCTAATATGATACACTGGATCTATAAGACCGTTATTAGACAGATTCTAACATACCCTTTAGCGCAACACGCCAAGAAATTAGGGCATGGGCGAATGAGACTCTTTGGGATAATGAGGGGATAGGAAAGATTAGAAAAAATTTATGGTGTGACCCAAATAAAGCAAATCCTAACGCTAAACAAAAAAGAAACAAAAAGACAGACGGATATTCTTACGGGACACCTCAGCCTGAAGGCACATCTACTTAATATTGGATGCGAAGGTAGCAGCAGCTGCAGAGCGTTAGGGCCATTTACATGCCTTTGAAACTATTCACGGACTAACCGATCTGAATCAAACCCAAGACGCTTAATGAAAAATTTCTCTAGTTCTCAATTTCTTTTCATTTCTAGAGCGCACAACTGGCTTATGTGTATGTCCTTCTTTTGTTGGACATGTGGAAGCATTATCCACATCTCTTTTCAACCTAACCTAACCACATAGGGCCAATGAATGAGACGATCTATATGAACGATTGAATCAAAAGGAACTAGTTGAAAGGAAGCTAAAGGAACTAGATTAATGAAAGAACCTGACCTAGTATTGACCGCTTCTTTTGTGGAATGTTGTTGCTGTAGACCAAAGGTCTTTCGTATGTCGAGAATGTTTGGTGCGTTCTTTTTAAGAGATTGTCTGGTTTCTCACCGAAGGGACTGTGATTTGACATTCCGGGTTTTTAGAGTGTAAAAAAACCTCTGTGCTCTGTGCGATAGAGGCCTATGTTTTTATGGGGGCTATATTAAAAGATTTTGACATATTTTCTGTTCGCACTTTTTAACCAAAGTGCACGATATTTGATATAGGTTGAATTTTTGACAAAGTCCTGAAATAAAGGTCTGCCCCATTTTAGATATTTTCATGATTCTTGTCGTTCATTCCCACTGAAGTGATTGTTATTTGCAAGCCGACAGAACTGTTTTCGATATAGGTCCATGTTTATGTGTGTATATAAAGTTCTTGTCTTATACCCTAGACAGACGACAGCCTTAATTTGCATTAACAGCCTTAATTCAAATTAACTTGTACATTATCCTCATTTTTATGTGTTGTTAATGCACAAAATCAAACTGAATTTATACTGAATTAGGAAATTTCAATATGGCAATGCTGTCGAAAATTAATTGTTTCTTGTCAAATTTATTTATATTTATGAAAATAAAAATAATACCATAGACAGACGACAGCCTTAATTTGCATTAAAAAATTCTTAATTTGAATTAATATTTACCCCTGACAGACGAGAGTTTCTGCATTTACAAAACAATTTTTTTGATTCAAAACAATTGTTTG